GGGCATAATCCCCAAAGAAATAAGACAGTAAATTCACAGTTGGTTTTAATATTAATGTAGACATATAGTTGTCAGCTTCTTCTAAACTCCTGAGTTCTGTACCACTTTGGGCTGTGTGTATGCTTTTCCAGAGTTAGGGTGGCTATGTATCTGGGTTTTACCTTTTCATAGGATAATTCTCTCTTCTCCAAGTCTCGTTAAAGGCAAGAATCATAAAAGGACAGAGCAAAGGCCTTGTAATTGGCTGTCAAAGTTAGCACATCAGCAACAGACTAGGCAAGTACACAGGTCACTTTCATAGAATCATAGAATTATAGAATAGTGACGTCGGAAGGGGCCTGAAAGGCCATTGAGTCCACCCCTCTGCTAGATGCAAGAATACAAATCGAAGGATATCTGCCTGGTGGTTGTCTAAGTTTCTCTTGAATGCCCCCAGTGTTGGAGCACTTGCTGCCTCTCAAGGCAATTGGTTCCACTGTCTTACAGTCACTTTGTTCCAGTCACCTGGTTCTCTGCTATATTTGTATTTAAATTATAGTAAATATTGCCAAATGTACATCCGTGCATATACAAGCATTTGTCCATATGTAAAGGTAACTAAATATTTTATGCAAATAAGTATCCTATGTGTTTCCTTGACTGTGTGTGTGTGTGTGTGTGTGTGTGTGTGTGTGTGTGTGTGTGTACATGCGCATCGTAGGTCCCATGTCTAAAAAGTTCAGGAAAAACTATCTTGATAAATTATTTGATCACGGGAAGTTCCATAATTATTAATCTCACAAAGCCATAATTTGAGACAGACACAATAAGCCAGGAAACTCCCCTCTGAGCAATGCTCAGCAGGTGACGTGACTTTATTATGGTATCATCTAAAAAGGGTAATTTGATTATTTCATTATCAGTCCCTGTGTGTGTGATGTATCCTAGCACTTTGAATCCTCATTAGGGACACTCTGCTGTCCTTCAGTTCTAGGGCTGTGAAATGCACCCGTTCAGAGTTAGTGCCATTTTCCTTCATGTTTTCAACACCCAATCTTTGTGTTATCAGTTACTGAATCTCTTTATCTTCAGACATTGTTTATTCATAGTCATGTTTCTGAAGGCACGATTCTTGATTCTACCTCTAGGCAGGGTGAGGTGGCTGTTTCAGACAGTGGGTTCTAAGTGTCAAGCCTGCTCAGTAATTATCATTACAGTATTGTTATTTGCTTCTACTGCAAGGGAAGAGAGGGAACTTGTGAGATCTTCTGCCTCATGAGCTAAAACAAATTATCAGGCATTGGGTGCTAAACTGTTTTGCCTCAGGCAGCACAATCTTTCAGACTAGCCCTGCTGTATAGGAACTTCCTCATCTCAGCTTCTTCACAAATTTGCATGTAATGCTTGACTTGTTCTACTTTTGGATTTTATTCATTGGATCATAAATTAAGTGTGGATCCAAAGGGAAGGTTTCCTAACACTTCCTCCAACTGATATTAAATGGATATAGATTTGGAATTATTTTTTGATATCTTGAAAATAGCTGCTTACATTCCTGCCTTGCTTTTTGGCTGAAAACATTTTCTTCATGCTGCTACCCACATCCTTTTCTAGGATGGCTGTGGCTTGTTCAGAACTCAGTACTTTATTGGTCACAATGGAAAGAAATCCTCTAAATAGTCGTTATCTGCACTAGATCTTAACTGCAGTAAATTTTAACTGTCATTGTGTTTGTTGCTCAATCATTGTGCTATGTAATACTCTGTGGACTTCCTTTGCCTTTTCCAGGCAAATAATTTTGTTGCCACATACCACTTTGTTTTGTTAATATATTGCTCTCCTGCCTTTCTCATATTCTTTAAACTGTGAAGAAAACGTAACCTGGCCAAAGAAGCAATAGTACTCCAAGCCAAGCTTTCAGCTGAGTTTTCTTCCTTACTCACAACATCTTCAAATTCAATGAGGCAACAGTTTTAAAAACTGCTCCAACAGGCAGGGAATCTTTAAGGAATGAAACTTCCTAGAAAGAAAGTGGAGATGTCTAGCAAGGAGCTATTACATTTGGGGGGGGGGGGTTGGTTGTAATCTTGAAATTACAGATTGAACCACAGATTGCCTTAAAGCTTAGATTTTTTTTCTCAAAAACCACCTCATTTAAGGATGTGTACAAATGAACTCATACGGTGTAAGTAAACAGACACAGGAATTGACAATCAGGGTTATTCCAGATGGAATTCGTTCGTTTGGTTTTATTTGTTTGTTGTTTGTTTGTCTGTCTCTCTGTCTGTCTGTTTAATATATTGCCTGATTTTGTGGAAACCCTCTGGGCAGTAAACACAAAAGAATTGAAACCACAATAGCATCATCACCCCATCCTACATAGTATAAAATAACAAAATACTGTAATATAAACAGCAACAAACACAAGGAGCTCATGGCGACATCCAATTAAGCTCCAAAATAAAAATAATGAATTCCCATCTCAAAGGAACTTATAAAGTTGTGGCTTAACAAGTTTTCTGAAAGTAAGGAGGGATGGAGCCTGGCATACATCCAGTGGAAGGGCATTCCACAGGTATGGGGCCAACACTGAGAAGGCCCAATTCTTAGTTGACATTCTTCTGGCCTCTCTCAATGCGGCCACTCTAAGAAGCAAGGCATTGGAGTAACAAGTGAAATAGGCAGCAATTCTTTGGGAGAGATGGTCTGACAGATACCAAGGTCTCAAATCATTTAGGGCTTTATTTATCAGCACTATCACACATATATAGGAATATTTGTTCTTCTATATATCAACCTGATTGTGCACTGGTGATATTAGTATTTTCCTGCCATCCAAACAATGCAGGGTTTAAACAAATACTAACAGTGACAAAAAGGGACAAAAATTCTGGCTTTTCAGGTATTTTTAAACTACCTGAGGGTGTGTTTCAATTCATGCCTCAGGTGGAGTTCAAGCAACAAGAACTTCTTGCATCAGAGGGAACTTCCAAAGAAGTAGTCTGTCTCAAAATATTTATTTTCTTTTGCCAGCATTGAATTAGAGATTTCTTATCTACTAGAACAATAACAAAATAAACTCTTTTTAAAAAAGAGTTCACAAGATGTTTTAAAAGGTGATTTTGAAAGATATTAGATTTCCAGAATGGATTAGCAGAGAATATCCTCTGCCAAGGGTTCCCATCAGAAGCTTTTAGTTTAACATGAATCCATTAAAACAACAGTTATAAAAGCTAAAATCTATCACAGAAGATAATTTCTAAAGTTATTCCAAGATTTCTAAAGATAGGAGATTTCCAGATGAGTAGCAGATGTCTACTACTGTACTTAGGGCTCCCACTGGAAGCTTTCAGTTCAGTGCTAATTTGCAAATTGTATTTTCAAGATTCGAACAGCTTCTTGAAGAAGAGAGGATTTCTTAAAGAGAAATGTTGTTTTATGAATACGTGTGGCCAGAGACCCTGGTTAGATCTGGCAGCACCAACTTGGACAAGGAGACAAGAGTAAATGGACAGCCTGGGTGAGCCCTTAGCCTTGGGTTACTAGCATAAATGCCAAGGGATTAATTAATCTAGTTTGCTTTTTCAGACTATATTGGGAGTGAAATCAAAATAAATTTGCTCATACCTTTGAGATTTATTAGAATGAACTTAGAATGCTGCTGTTGCTTCCTAAATGCAGTGGTATCTGAATAGCTGCTTTCATTAAGTTTTAGTTTTCATCAGGGAATCTTCAAGTTTTCCTCTGACAGGTTTATCATGGGACTTAGGTATTTCAAAGGTCTTTTTCACACATGAGTCCTAACTTAATTTTGTTTAAATCCATTTGTTGACATTGGTTTGTTTAAATTGGCCAGCATATGCCTTATATTAATAAATGGTTCTCTTTAGTATTCCTATGATGATGATGATGATGATTAATCACATTTATATGAGACATAACAAGTATGTAAAGCTGTAACTTGGTGAACACATGTTCTGTTTATAGAAAACAACTGTCTGTTTGAAGGTATCCTCTGACTGAATCGTGTTCAACTCTAGGGGGCAGTGCTCATCCCTGTTTCCAAGCCATAGACCCAGCATTTTGTCCGAAGACAATCTTCCGTGGTCACATGGCCAGTGCGACTTAGACACGGAATGCTGTTACCTTCCCACCAAGGTGGTCCCTATTTATCTGTTCACATGCGCATGCTTTCGAACCGCTAGGTTGGCGGGAGCTGGGACAAGCAACAGGAGCTCACTCCGTTGCGTGGATTTGATCTTACGACTGCTTGGTCTGCACAGGCTTCTGTCTGTCTGTTTGAAGGTATCCTCTGACTGAATGGCTGTTCAGGCCAAATCTCTTAAAAATAGTGAACCATAACAGCATTAAAAAAGGAGAAAGGAGGAGTTGAAAGAAAACGTAAAGTCACTCATCAGCAAGCATCTGGTAGGATCTGATCAACAGGCTGAGCAGGTACACAAGCCACCTGGTCGCAACCTGAGTTGTATTTCTATTAATATCACATGAATTGTATCTATATATAAAAATTAGTGTATTCCTCTCTCTGCGTGTGTATGTGTGTCTTTGATTATTTTGGATAATGCATAAGAGGGCACCCTAGGCCGCAACTCAACTGCATACACATCTGAGATTAATCACTATTAAATACAATGGGACCTGAAAGGGTTGGAAGTCCTTTTTAACACCTTGTTTTAGGAGACAAAATATGAAGTGTTGTTTAAGATTTAAGAGTACCACATTTCATAGGCATCTTCAGATGGTGTCTTCAACCCATTAGTGTCTGGAGAAGCAGACTGTGATCTGTAAAAGCTCACAATGAAATACATTTGTGAGCCTTGAAAATAGGTGCAAAGATACCAAGATATAACCTATTTTGTCTGGCTGCCTCGAAACAGCTCGCCAAGGGGCTGAGCGGATGGAACAATGAAGTTTGCGGCCAGTGCATGTGTGGGTGGCTGCAAGGGTGGAGCAAAAGGGGAAGTGTCAAGAGCAGCCACCAGCTCAGTGATAAGGAATTTCCTGTCTTCAGTTTTAAGAAAATATTTCAACCTGCCTGCACATCTCTGACAGACCCAGTGCTTGGCTTACAAACAGCGGGGAAGATGGAGGTGCTGACGCTGCTAGGTGAGTGAATTTTTAACTGGGAGCACTGAGAAGGGAATGAGCAGAGAAGAAAATCTAATCCAGCCTTCTCCGAATGGGTTGGACAACATCTCCTGTGAAGCCCTTCAACACACCTGTAATCTAGCACATCTGATGTGCACCAAACTGGCGAAGGCAGGTTAGCAATTCATTGGACATGTGAGGAAGGAAAGGAGGAGGAAGTGCGGGGCTGTTACCAGGGAGAGGATGGCACCTTTTTGTACAATCTGATAGTTCTGTCAGCATCTGAAACAAGAAGCACAGATTAAATCCTTTGGCCTGTGCTTCCCTTGAGAAAGAAGACTGGAGTGACATACATGTATATGTACCTTGAAGTGAACCTGACTGCCCAGTTCTCTGATCTTTTTGACCACTAGTGTACCTAAACTAGGTTGTTTTAAGCTGGAATGCCATAAAGAAACCTCTGCATGAGCTGGGTTTGCCATTTACAGATTTTAATTTGGCCAATGAGTTTATGTTATGATATAACCCAGTGTGTGGCAGCAGTGAAGAAGGCCTATTCATCAAAGGTATTGAAGGTAAAACAGCCAACATTATAATGCCATTGTAGAAAATGCTGGTAAGGCCACACCAAAAGTACTGCGTACAGTTCTGGCTGCCACACCTTTAAAAAGACATAGTGGAACTGGAAAAGGTGCAGAAGAGAATGATTAAAATGATGACTGGGCTGGGGCATCTCCCTTATGAGGATAGTCTAGAGAAAAGGCTCCTGAGGGGGAACATGATTGATACGTATAAAATTATGCAGGGGGTGGATAAAAGGGATAGAGGGAAGCTCTATTTCACTCTCATGCAATACCAGAACCAGGGGACATCCACTCAAACTGAGCGTTGGGAGTATGAGAACAAATGAAAAGAAATATTTCTTTACCCAGCGTGTTGTTAGTCTGTGGAACTCTTTGCCACAGGATGTGGTAATTGCATCTGGCCTACATGCCTTTAAAGGGGGATTGGACAGATTTCTGGAGGAAAAGTCCATCATAGGTTATAAGCCGTGATGGGGATGTATAATAATCTCCGGGCTTAAAATGAAGGTACATCAAAATGCCAGATGTGGGGGAGTGCTATCAGAAGAGAGGTGTCTAGTTGCCTCGTGTGCTCCCAGAGGCATCTGGTGGGGTCACTGTGAGATACAGGAGGCTGGACTAGATGGGCCCTTGGCTTGATCTGGCATGGCTCTTCTTATGTTCTTATATAGCTCACTTTTTTTACAAGCGGGAGCTCTCCAGATGTGTTGAATGGCAGCCCCTGCCATATACAGTACATCCAGCATGACTGTTGAAGGCTCTTGGGATGGGAAGGGTCCTAACTTGGGGAACACCAATGGAACCAGCAAGGGTGGAGGTGGAGGCAGAATCTTGTTCCTCATGTTCCAAGGAAATCCACATGCTCAACATTCTCCGTGTGAGACTCTGTCATGTTTGGTTTACATGGTGCTCATATTGTTGTCGTGATTTGTTAGTCCCCAATATAAGCTGGATGGACATTAGGTCAATGTTAGACTTCTGTGATGAATGGTCTGTGTTATGGTTTCCAGGTGCCTCTCCATCTCTGAGGACTCGCTGACCTTTTAGCCTCTGCTCTCAGGGCTCCTGTGACTACCAGTCTTTCCTGTCTCCACCTAAAGTATCCTCTGCTGACACAACATGGTATTGGCCTGTTCAGCATGCCCCAAAGTAAATAGTCCCAGCCTGCAACTTGAGCAAGTGAGGGCAGGAATGGAGAACGCTCCCAACAACAACCAGAAAGTTAAGAAACATGTGCATCTGCAGGAGAGGTATGTTGGTTTTGCTTAGGTAGGTGGAAGCATGTACAGAGTCTAGTGTGCCGGTTTTGTGTCCAGACGTCATGCTGTCCAATACCAGAGGAAAATGTGCACATTAAGAAGGCATTGTGTTTTAATAAGGCGTCTTTATGGGGGAAGCTGTTTCTAGTGGTTAATGCATGACATAAAGGACTGTTGTCCTGAATTTATAGTTGGGTAGTGTGGCGCTGCGGGCTAAACCGCAGAAGCCTGTGCTGCAGGATCAGAAGACCAAGCAGTCGTAAGATTGAATCCACGCGACGGAGTGAGCGCCCGTTGCTTGTCCCAGCTCCCGCCAACCTAGCGGTTCGAAAGCAAGCAAATGCGAGTAGATCAATAGGAACCACCTCGGTGGGAAGGTAACAGCGTTCCGTGTCTAAGTTGCACTGGCCATGTGACCACGGAAGATTGTCTTCGGACAAAACGCTGGCTCTATGGCTTGGAAACAGGGATGAGCACCGCCCCCTAGAGTCGAACATGACTGGACAAAAATTGTCAAGGGAAACCTTTAACTTTAAGTGCATTGATTACTGCAGTATGTTCTAGCTGGGGATCTCCCTTGATGAGTGTAGAAGAATTGTAGCGAGTGCAAAATGTGTATTGTTTGGACTGTATTACACCACTCCTGCATCACATGCATTGACTGCCATGTTGTTTCTGGGCATAATGCACTTGTTTGTTAGATATGTTGCAGGCTTTTCTAGCCTCTCCATCGCTTTATCTAATCAACCACACAAATGATATAGATAAAATTATCCTCTCATCTCCATTCAGGAAGGATAGGAAACAAATTTATACAGAAAATAAATCCTGCTGGCTTGTCTTTCAGCAACTGGTTGAGTGACAGCATTTTCTATGCTGTGATAACTTTTAGAGGAACAAACATATTATTTTGGAGTTACAGAGAAGGAAGGAAGTAGAGAAACAATTTGTGTTCATGCTTCCAGTGCAATATGTATAAAACCAGAGAGAAGCCAAATGACTTTAAGCACCAAATATGACAATGATAACGATGCCTACCCATTTTTAAAATACTTTCTAATTTAATTTAGTTCAATTTTAAAATTTCACACTATATTTTGCCTTCTTGCTAAATGCAAAATTATTTATTTCTGGGGGTGACATTCTGTGTATTCAGACTTTTCTGCCTTTCAGAAGGGGCTCCAATGTGTCTCTGGTGCTGGACATGAGTTCCCTCGGCAACACCGAACCTATTTTATCAGTCTCCACTCCCAGAGATGTCACAGTGCAGCTCCTGAATACAGCCAGTCATGTTCTTAGTCAGAAGATCCTCCAGCAGAGGACCTGGAGTCTGGAGGAGCTTCAGGAAGAGTTTGCGGTAAGTAAGTTCCAGCTCACATATCTTGACTTGATCCCAAGTGAAATTCCTCCTGTAGTCTATAATCCCTCCACCAAGGTCATCCCATGAAACTTTGCTGTCAGAAGAAGAGAATGGCTGTCACAGCTGCAATTTGTCTCCTAGAATTTGGGGACTGAGGCATCTGTCTTATTTTACTTCATGATAGGGCCAGCTCTGCCCTCTGGAGCTAATTGGAAAGGCCTGAATGGGATTTCTACATAGCAGTCATCTTTTGTGAATGATAGCATATGTTTGAAAAGGAGCTCTGTGAAGCAAGGGCATCTGTTTGAGATGGTAAAAGGTGATCATAATCACCCATCCCTAATTGTTTATTGTCTGTGTTATAAAAGGGGACATGGTTTCAGTGTTTTCCTCTTTTTTCTTCTTAACAGAAAATCCCCTCAAATTTTATCAGTCCAGAAGAGCTGAATATCCCTGGCAGAGCAGCAAAGGACAGATATAAATCCATCCTACCAAGTATGTTTATATTTATTCTAATTATGAACAGAAGGCTGAGGGAACAGGAAGGGAGGGCAAACTACCTATCCATGAGTCCTTATTTGAGAACTGAGAAGCTGTAATGTGGTAAAATAGAAAATATTCTCAAGGCCTGAGAAGCAGGACAAGCTTTCGTAGAGGGCAATGAAACTGCCTAACAACAACAACAACAATGTACCATTAAGTCAATTCTTACTTACGGTGACCCTTTTCAGGGCTTTCCAGGTACTAGAGAAGACTCAGAAGTGGTTTACCATTCTCTTCTTCTGGGGGCACCCAGAGACTGTGCAGCTTGCCTATGGCTACACAGGCTGGTTCTTCTCCCAGGAGGCATAATGGGGAATCAACTCCCAACTTCTGGCTCTGCAGTCAGATACCTAAACTGCTGAGATATCCAGCCAATTTTTGTGAATGTAATGATGGTGATTTATTTGGGGAAAACAATAAAAGACTAGAAAGAGGAGTAAATGTTCACATTTACACTTGAGATCCATTGATTCATGTGGGTCTCATGACTCCCTCATTTGAGTTCCTACTTTTGTTGCCAATGATGTACTTCAGTTCTGACATGAATGTTTAACAGCTTTTGTAGACAGTGATGTACAGTACTTCAGTTCTGACATGAATGTTTAACAGACAAATTTGTTATATATAAGTACATGGGCATGATCCTAGAAATGCAAGGCCACTAGAACAATAAAGTAGGAAAGACTGATTCAAGTGCTGGGGCCAAGCACTCAAAACATTGCTTAATAAAGACTGTAACACACAGAATCCCCCAACCAGCATGATCAGTGGTCATATTTGCCAGGAGATTTTTTTTTAATGTTAGCGAAAGAGTTTTATTTCTATACAATTGTGAAATACACATTTGTCCTTTTGGCACTGCAGGCTCTGTGTTAGTTGTTACTGAAACTATACAGTATGACTTGAATGATAGAAAATGAAGCTTAGAGTCTTGGATGATTTTAAGACAAAACAAAACTGGAAGGGAACAGAATATAGTTAAAGTTACTTTCAACAGAAACGTGAAGGAGAACACAAAAGTCAGAATCAGGGTGTCTTAAGAAGTAAGTTCAGGACAAGTTACATTTCAGTTTAACCAATGAATTCATCAAGTGCACTAAAGTGTGCACTGCAACACAGATGTGGCCATCAATATATCTGTACAGACATGATTTATGGGATTTATAAATTGGATTGCATTCAAGATGGAAAAAAGATGCATGCAAGTTTTATTCTGAACCAGCTGAAGCAGTGACACATGATACTTGGAATACAGTTGGTCTCATGGTTCTGAGCCAACATAGATGTTATATTTGCAAGTACACCAGTTATATGTGCCAGGAGGTTTGATGAGTTCTAAACTCAAAAAGTATTTTTCCAAGCATTTATCTATGGGAAACTCTGGACAGCCTCAGATGTGACGGAGGATACCCTTGTCTCAGAGCACTCAAGTGCCACATCTAATCCACGTATCCCTCTAGATCCCCTGAGTCGTGTCTGCCTCAGATTTGCTGACTGCCAAGAGGATGGGTGCTACATCAATGCAAACTACATTCGGGTGAGCCAAAGGGTTATTTGCAAATAACAGTCTTGAGAACAACAACTTGAACACTGCTTCTTATTCATAGGTACTGTTTCTGTCCCATCTTCTAGGGATATGCTGGGCAGGAAAAGGCTTACATTGCTACACAGGGGCCCATGCTGAATACAGTCAATGACTTCTGGATGATGGTGTGGCAGGAAGAGGTTCCTCTCATTGTTATGCTCACCAAACTGAAGGAAGAGAAGGAGGTATTTTAGCAATCTGTCCATTTGCTATGAGCAAGCATGAATGAATTGCCTGCTGGTGGGAGTAGTGTGAACTTGAGGATTTCTTCAGAGCTGAAGCACTTAATAAGCATAGTTGCATACATATGATCAAAGGACACATGGAAAAAGCACCAGACACTTTTGTTTTATTTGAGACCCCATATATAGGACACTTTTATTATTATCATTACCATCATTGTTAGTACTACTGGTAGTGCATAGGCATCCTTCAGTCTCGAGAGACTATGGTAACATGCTCTGTATCGAGGAGTGTCCTCTCCAGAGCATGAAGTCTGGGTAAAGTAATATGGAGGATAGGCTGTTACCCAAGCAGCAGATTCCCCCCTCTCCAGTGCTAAGGAAATAATATTCATTGTGTTGTTAACGGCTTCTTACCTCCCCCAGTGCTAAAAATTCCCAGAGTGCTCAAGATTGGATTTCCTTTGCATATAGGAGAGTACTGAAAATGTATGATATTTATGTAATATATGTTTATTTACAAATATACAATCACAGAATGGGACGCGGTGGCGCTGCGGGCTAAACTGCAGAAGCCTGTGCTGCAGGGTCAGAAGACCAGCAGTCGTAAGATTGAATCCACGCAATGGAGTGAGCTCCCGTCGCTTGTCCCAGCTCCCGCCAACCTAGCGGTTCGAAAGCATGCAAATGCACGTAGATAAATAGGGACCACCTTGGTGGGAAGGTAACAGCGTTCCGTGTCTAAGTCACACTGGCCATGTGACCACGGAATATTGTCTTCAGACAAAAACGCTGGCTCTATGGCTTGGAAACGGGGATGAGCACCACCCCCTAGAGTCGAACACGACTAGACAAAAATTGTCAAGGAGAACCTTTACCTTTACCTTACATACAATCACAGAATACTGGAAGCAACAGACTCTTAAGGTAGCAGCAGAACCACTGATTCTGCATCAGGTTCACAAAGGCAACAGCCATTATCTCTCATGCCCACCTTAAGATGCTTCCAGCCTATTTAAAATTCCAGCCAAAATTCTCCCTTTTCTCTGCCTCTGCATCCATATTGTAAAACTGTTTCTCCCTTTCCCGCTACACCAACTTCTGTGGAACAGTTTATGTTAGTCCTAAACTGATAGTTAAAAAGCTCATTCAAAATCAGGAACACATCTCCGCCATTACTGTACCTGAAACTCAGGAAGCGCAACCCATCTTTAGCAAGCCATCCGAAAGATGGTCTTCCAGGTATTTAGGTCATGAGTTTAAAGGGAAGTTTGGCAACATGGATTCTAAACTATATAATTTTTGCGTCCACCACTGGGGATACAATTAAAAAAAAAAAAGATTGATCCATTTGCGTTAGTTCAGATGTGTGATCCTTGAACTAATCCAGAATAGGCCCACTCTCATGGGAAAGAAAGCTTGTCTTAACCCCAGAGCATTTTCTGCATCTTTAATTAATGAGGTCACCTTTTCGAAATGACAGAATACTTTAAAAAAAGTTTCTCCTCTGTGGACAAGAAACCTCTTTCTTTTTCTCTGTCTCTCTCTCTCTTGCTTTTTTTTTTTTTACATCTTCTCCTCTATGGACTTTTTTTTTACAGCGATTGCTCTCTCTCTCTCTCTCTCTACTCTCTTGCTTTTTATTTATTTTTAGTTTTTTACATCTTCTCCTCTCTCTATGGACTTTTTTTTTACAGCAATTGCTCTCTCTCTCTCTCTCTCTCTCTGTGGACAAGACTCCTATATATCTTTTTATAGTTTAAGAAAGAAGCTTCTCTATCGGCAAGAATTTTCCTTTAAAAATAATAAACTGAGGAGATGAGGAAGGGAAGCCTTGTTTAGGTTGTTCCTTTGTAACAGCATCACCTGCAGGGCTATAACTTGAACTGCAAACAAGCTGCAGAGAAGGCTCTCCTCTCTGCCTGCATGGCCAGTCAATGCAAAGACACACAGGCACACCTGAATTTCCTGGTGCATCTTCACACCAAGTGAATGCAAGTGAATTCACATTACCTTCATTATGTAATCACACCCACAGTCTGATATTTATCCTGCCACTTCTATTTATTTGGCTACCTGTCCTTTTGATTTCAGAAATGTATCTGCTACTGGCCTGAATCAGAGGCAACCTATGGACCTTTCACCATCCAAGTTCAAAATATTTGCAAGTGTGAAGAGTACACAACCCGTAGCTTTACCCTGCAGGTAGGCCAAGGAAAAAAAATTACTGAATGTTCTTTATGTATTATATGGGAAGTTAAAAGGAAAGAGAAATTTTCTGAAAAGGTCTGGGCAATATATTCCTGCCCCAAAAGCCAATCCTTTTAGTAAGGAGATTAAAACTTTGCATGAACATATTTCTTTTGGAAAGCATTTGTAATTAAATGCTGGTAGCCATTTTTAATTTTACATGTATTGTAAACTTATTTTGTTCTCTTTTTTACATTGTTAGTCACTTTGGGTTTCTGTTACAGCATAGACCACTGCATTTTTTTTTGTAGTCTTCCAATACCTCCTGCATTGGATAGTTTCATTTTGACTATATAAAGAGCAGCAATTGGAAACACTGGCTGAAATCCTGTTGCATATTTGCACAAAGGCAACTGAACTGCCATTAAGAACTCTTCATAGGCTTTAGCTGTTGCACACCAGGATGAACAACTCAGGCCTTAGCCAGATAGCTGAAGTAGAGTGGGCTCGATTGGTCTCAACAGGGTTGATTAAGGTCTGGTATGCCATTTGGTGCAATCCTTGAATCCACATGGCATATGCACTTCAAGTGACATTATTTTGCTTGCCTCCCTTGAAAGAAAGAAAGAAAGAAAGAAAGAAAGAAAGAAAGAAAGAAAGAAAGAAAGAAAGAAAGAAAGAAAGAAAGAAAGAAAATTCCCCTTCCTTGCCTCCTCCTGTCTTCTCCTTCTGAGAGGAAGCTTTCAATTTTCTTTTTCAAAGACACAGTGCCTCAGCACTATCCTAATAGGCTTTTATAAAAACTTTGCTTTTCATCTGCACCTCTACAGAGATGTTTCTACAAAGTGAGGAAGCAAGGGCTTTTGGTTTTTGTTTGTTTGTTTGTTTGTTTTGAGAAGAGCAGAGGAAGTTTTTAATTTCCCAATATCATTAAGTGGCTAAGCTTAACAATACTGGGAAATTGAAACCAGATGGGAAATGAAATCAAGGAAGCTCCACTACGGTTCAATTCCTGCAATCCCATATGTTGGAAATGAGACAAGAAGGAATGATCCTACGAGCATCTGAAAAAGGGAGTCAGAAAGGTGTAAGTAAGAATGCTCTGAAGATGGACTGGTTTGTTGTGGCAGTTATGTCATCTGGTTGCAAGCAAGAGATGCGAACCAGCCCATCTCCACAGCAGAATGAACAGCAGGAAAAATGCCCATGTAATCATCATCTCAGTATGCAACAGACACTGTCTATGAAGATTTCTTAACACTGTAAAGTTACACTGTTTGCAAAACTGCATAACAGGGTTTCAGCTATTAAGGGTTGCACTGTGAAGTCCTCCACATTGTTGTTCCAATGAGTCAGCCATGTATTTCCTATGATACCTTCCTCTTTCCCACTTAGCACCCCCCCCCATTGCAATGATCAGTCAATATCCCATGGCTACTGATCACAGCTTATTTTTACACGGCTGTTTTGGGGGGAGGGATATCTCACCTTCATGCTTGGTGTGGAGGTACATTCTTTTGTATGTGGGTGTTGTTGGTTTGACTACCAAAGCAAAGGCACATGGGGAATAATGATGCTTTTGATCTCATCATGATTCTCAGTTCAAAGATGAATGTCGCACCGTGAAACATATTGTCTTCTCATCCTGGCCAGACCAAAAAATACCAGAATCGGCCAAAACACTTTTGCACTTAGTTTCAGAGGTGGAGAAAATCCTGCAGGCTGCAGAGAACAAGGGACCTGTTGTTGTGCATTGTAGGTAAGAATCTTCCCTCATAATCCTGTAGCACTACTCGTCAGCAGCCTGGACTTTCCCAGACTGAAACCTGCATTCCAAATTTATATACCTGCTGATTTGACAAACACTTTCCTCTTATAAAAACCATGTGATGCTGTGGCTTAAGTGTTGAACTGGGACTTAGGAACCCCAAGCTTTAGGCTCCATCAGGGCAGGAGACTAACTGGATGACCCTGGGCTAGTTTTTCTTTTCCTTGAGTTATCGTAAAGGTAAAGACTTGAGAAGATGACGAAGTGGGAAGGGGAAAAGACTCAGGTATGGTGCCGCTGAGGATTAAATGTGAAGGGCAGAGACATATGATGCCTTGAGCTCACTGGAGGACAAGTCATAAGGTTACAACTACCTTGACAAATACTTTTTGCTCCAAAACTATCATGGCTGAATTCAAAGGATTGTGGGAGTAGATGTTCCCTTTTATATATATATATACGTATATTTCAGGAGAATAAGGGAGAAAAGATTGTGGGAGTAGATGTTCCCATTCTCCCCAAACAACATAGGGCTATACAGTATATATGGTGACACATTAAGATGGGCCATGTTGTTTGGGGAGAACGGGAACATCTACTCCCACAATCTTTTCTCCCTTATTCTCCTGAAATATATATAACAGGAGAATAAGGGAGAAAAGATTGTGGGCGTAGATGTTCCCGTTCTCCCCAAACAACATGCCCCATCTTAATGTGTCACCATAACACCACCCAGAGTCACCCCCTCTTCCTTTTGTAGAACAAAGCAAACAATCATACAGGGAAACACTGTTCAAATCATCCCAGCTTTTTAAAAAGTGATAGCCCCCAGGGTCAAGAGAAAAAACACTGAATAAGAAGCAAAATGGGCCAGGCTGATTTGCAGTGGCCATTGTATCATGTGTTCATGGAAAAATACTTTGAATTCAGCCATGGTAGTTGTGGAGCCAAATCTCAAAGTATTTGTCAAGGTAGTTGTACCAAAGGTAGTTGTACTAAATATTTAACCAAACAACTGAGTTTAGCATTGGATCACATCGTGACTGCATAGATACATCAGTTTAGCACTAAATCACCTAGACATGACAAGAAAGGAGAGCTGTGGATTGCTGAATGGTATCAAAAGAAAGGCCGGGGGCTGTGGGTGCATATCAGATTGCATTGGATTGAGAGCCAATGTGGACGCTAGCACCCAGACAATCTGTGTTCTTTGTCTATTCACTTAAACCTGATATACCCATAAAAGAGGCTGCAAATCAAGCTTTGGCAAAGCTGAATTGTCGGTGTAGTCACACCTTAATTTAGGAGAGAACCCCCTCCTCCACTTCTTTAAAGTATGAGCCAGTTCAGGAAGGGCAAGATATAATTATATGTTAATAAATATTTGCTAGCAGTTCTGAAACAAGCAAAATATATCATTTAATATCACCAGATTTCTGTATGTGAGTGTGAGCATGTGTTTCATTCAGTGCAGGAATTGGTCGAACTGGCTGCTTTATCGCTACGCAGATTGGATGCCAGCAACTAAAAGACAAAGGAGAGGTAGACATTTTGGGGATAGTTTGCCAGCTACGTATAGACAGGTATGTACTAAGTGACAAACAGCCTTTTGAACCTGTTCATTACATGTAAAACTCTTGTATAGAGTAGAAGAGGAACTCCTGGCAGTTCTAAAGCAGCTTTTCCCCCAATCTGAAGGCCTCCAGATGTGTAGAACTTTGGCTGCCATCATTGGCCACACTGGAAGGGGATAACAGGGTGACCCAAACCATCTGGAGACCTGTCAAAGATACAAAACGAACATACACATAGATATAAATACATACTTAATATCATTTGTGGCAGAATTTCACATGGCCATCAGATATAGAACAAAAGATTTAATAACTAGGTTGCTTTGTTTTGTTTGCTATAGAACAGAGCAGCCACATTGTGTTCTGGGAAACAATGAAATGTAACAATTACTCTTTAAGGTAATATTTTTTGGGGGGGGAGGTTGGCAGGGGTGCTGCTTTTATTTGGATAAATGATAGTTTTGTTCTGCTGAACTCTCTTTAGATCACCTTGGTGGTTTTCTATATCCTGAAAATCAAACTAGTAAAGAATCATTAGTATCTATTCTATGGAGTAAAATTATTTCCTACACAAGTTCACCAGCTTCAACTGAAAGCCTTATTCAATGGTTTTGATCTTCTGCAGTGTGCTGGTACAGTTAATATTTAGTTGTGTTCTTGTAGGGAGACATGAGAAATTGTTGAACCCCAGCTTTTCCTCTAACTCACCCATTTTGGCCCCCAGATTTTTGTCTGATTTTTCCATTTAAAAGTTCATAGATACCAACACAGACTCCAACTTCAGTTCTTGCCTACTAAAATGTTACTGTGCTATAATATGAACTGGCAATGGGGGGGGTTGTTAAAAACTATTCTTGTTGAAGCATCTTTCAATTTTTTAAGGCACCAGAAACTGTTAGAAGAGAAGGCGGTGCATATGGGTGATGTGCTAAATGGTTTTTAATCCTTTCATGATTTCTGGATAACAAACCTTGTCAGCAATACTATCAGCTGCTGTTTCTTGATCAGTTTGTAAGCTGGTGAAATTGCAGTAGCTGGATTTAATCTTTTTGAAGTTTCTGTTCTGTTAAAAGAGGTACAGCACTATAGTGAAACAACTAGGTCCTTTTGTCTTTGCAGATTTCATTATGCTACAATTTTTGTAATTCTGTAGGATATATTTTCATCTCATTTTACTTACACTCCTCCTTTTTTGGTTCATTTGCATTCATATTTTTGGTGCACTCTTTATTTGAATTGCTTAATGTTTGTGCATTGAGCAAACAAGAGTAATTTAATAATTGACAAACATGTTTACTTAACCAGGATGATAATGTTAAGAGTATAACATTGTGAAAAAATAATCTCTGTGCTCCAGCTTGAAGAATGGTACAAAATGAATGTCATTGGTGACCTCTCTCTTTTTGACAGAAAATTTACAAATGAGAAAAATGCCATTGTTAAGACAAATAGTTCTGAGAGAGGTGGGATTGGGTAGACTAAATATCATCTCTGACAAGTTATCCGTCAGTGGCTTCCAACCTGTGGTCTCCTAGATGTTTTGGACTTCCACTATCAGAACCCTGAGGGATTGACCATATTAGCTGGGATTTCTCAGAGCAGGAGTTCAAAACATATGTTCTAGGATATACCTCAGTTCATGTGCTGATGGGTGTGTGTTCTGCTTTACAGAGAACAACATTGTATTGGTAGGTGTTACCTGCATCTGGCTTGTTTATGAGCAATATGTAGTTCTCAGTGTCCCTTTGGGTACTTTATCATAAATTAAGAAAATACTACAATTCAGGATGCTCTTTGTGTAAAAATGGCATTGTTGCTGCTGTTAATAAATATGTTGTTGATTTTTTTTGCTTGTATTCTAGAGGTGGAATGATACAAACCAGTGAACAATACCAGTTCCTGCACCATACACTAGCCATGTATGCTTCACAGCTTCCCAAGAGCACAAATTCTTGATGCCATCTTGTGTTAACAAGAGGAAAGGCCTGCTACTGGACACTTGACTTGAAGGAACATTTTTTTAATGACAACATAGAAAGAAGTATTTATATTTTAACCATTTGGCATGTAGACTAAGCAGAAGAAGAACCACCTTCTTGAATACCGCATATAACTGGAATGTATTCTTCCTGGAAAGAGGTGTTCAATTTTTTAAAAAAACTTTCCGAATGTGTATAAAACCAAATCTTCTTTTCACATTATCTGAAAATAGTTTGTTCTGTTTATGAGCCAGATCCATGGCTAATAAATGAATTCACTATCCAAAAAGCTATTAAAACGTTGAGCTAGAGGACTGACCTTGCTTATCAGGGAAAATGCAAAATACTTTTTCTGTAGCCAAAGACTTGATGGCTAAGGTAACTAAAGGTGGCTAAGTTAAAATTGTTAATGACAGAGGAGAAGCAAAAGTAAAAGAAGAGAAGACTCACCGGAAAAGACAAGATTCACTAGAAAAGGCAGTACAGTAGTGTTGGGAAAAGTGGAATATAGTATGAAAAAAGGACGCTCTAACGTGAAATGAATTGCACATTAAAGGAAGCCTTTAGTTGGCAAGACCTGAGTAAGACTGTTTGGGGTCCTTTGGCAGGATCTTTTTGAAGTTCATTAATTCAAAATGTTGCTGTAAGTCAAAATAGACTTGACAACACATAACAAAATAACAATGTGTTATTTGTTAACTAGAAGGCTTCACTCTGGGAAGTTACTAACTAGCTGCTGCTGTTGCTCCCGCTCTATTAAAGTAAATGTGAGTTGACTCTAGACAGTTTGGCAACAGCTCTCCGGGGTTTCACACAGAGATTTTTCCCAGAGATTGAATCAGAGACCATCCGCAGATACTCTTCATTAAGCGATGGCTTTTATTATGTTGTCCTGACAATGGAAAGAGTATATCCAGTCTTACTCAAAGAACAAACTGCCCTGTGGTGCCAATGGGCCTTCTTCCTAATTTTTCACAGTAAGACCAGAGGTCAAAAATGTTGCACCACTTTTCACCAGAAAGATACAAGAACACAACCAAGTCTTGTGGTGCCTTCCTGACTAACTTTATTTGGCATATATTTGTAGTCCACAAAGGCTGCACCTAGCAAGGCTGTTGTGAGTTCATGTTTGCAATGGGTAAGATTCATGTTAACTATTTAAATGATTCTGCACAAATGGAAAACTTAAGACAATTTGTGTAATCCCTACAGTGTGGTTGAAGGAAGGGAGGAAGGCATACTGTTTAGTCTGGAAAAAAAGAAGGAAACAAACAGCCAAATAAAGCCAGATGCGGCAACCAAAATGTGTTCATCTTGAAAACTATTTGCAACCCCACTAATGACAAGTGTACTTGGTTGTCCCCTTTGTTTCTCTAGAGATCTATTACACATACAAACACATACACACACCCCTTCTAAAATCTGAACTTCGCTGCGGGCTAAACCGCAGAAGCCTGTGCTGCAGGGTCAGAAGACCAGCAGTCGTAAGATCGAATCCACGCGACGGAGTGAGCGCCCGTCGCTTGTCCCAGCTCCCGCCAACCTAGCGGTTTGAAAGCATGCAAATGCAAGTAGATAAATAGGGACCACCTCGATGGGAAGGTAACAGCGTTCGTGTCTAAGTAGCACTGGTCATGTGACCACGGAAGATTGTCTTCAAACAAAACGCTGGCTCTATGGCTTGGAAACAGGGATGAGCACCGCCCCCTAGAGTCGAACACGACTGGACAAAAATTGTCAAGGGGAACCTTTACCTTTTTAGTGGACTGCACAAAAAATATTTTCTGTAGATATTCTGCCTTCTCCTGTGTACTGTCAGGACAACAGCTGCAGCATTTACATGGCTATGGAAGTGCGTAGTTTCCTTCTGCCTTTCCATTTCCAAATCTAAAGAGTATTTCACTTGAACTGTGTTTACTATGCTGACTGTGCATAAATAAACTAGTGTTTCCATTTTGAAGCTGCTCAGAGAAAGCAGTTGCTACTTATACACTACTCATACATTTCCCTGGGCGTGTTTGGATACTATAATAATGTACTCTGCTGAGTTGCTTAAATGGTTCAGAGCTTAGATCAAATTATATATTATGGATGTGGAAAAGAATTAAGTGTTTAAGACAAAATCTGCCTCCCCAGTCAGTCCACTATTTCCCCCAATTCATGCTTTGAAACATATTTCTGGTACAGCAATGACTTGACATGAACCTCCATGAATTCTGAACACATGGACATGAACCTAACCTGAAGAGTTCCAAAGTCAAGGCTCAGGATGTACTGTCATTGCTGGAGCACTCAACGCATGGCTAGACCATCCACCAATGTGATCCTAACACCGGACACTGGATGGAGTTTCTGGTGCCACCTGAGGGGCGAGGCCAGGTGATGTGAGGATCAAAATCAGAGATGAGCATGCCACCAGCAGAAGAAGCAGCAGGGGCAAGAGGCCTCACAGCAGAGACCTCCTGGTCAGCCTACTCACAGCCACTCAGTTGGCCCTGCTCCTGCACCTCCTCCCTCTTTGCCACGCTACATCAGATAGCCTAGGCAGGTCCGGGTAGAGTGTGGCCATGCCTCTTGAGAGGATTACAGCATCTACAGGGTGGCTGCCACTGGTGGGGACTATGGAGGTATAGCAGGGGAATTAGCCCATGCTACCCTCCTCCAAGAACAGCTGACTGCAGGCATACAGCATCTGTGTTGCCACATTCCATTCCTGGTCCACCTGAAAGGTGTCATCGAACTGGTAGAGGTGGTGGGGCACCACTCCTCCCAGTAAGAGACTGGGAAAGATTGGGAGTGAACTCTCTGGCACTTCACGTTCTTAAGTTTGTTTTTTGGCCCTATTGGCCCTTTAAGGAGTTCTGTTGCTCAAAGAGCTTGTTTCTGCAAGCACTTGTCCTGTCATTATGAAGTAGGGAGCACCAGAATGTTCACAAAGTGTCATACCAAAAATAGGCAATTGCAGACAGATGTTCTTGGACTAAAATACCCAAAAGCCTTCACCACTAGCTGTGCTGGCCAGGAATTCTGGGAATTGCAGTCCAAGAACATCTGGAGACCCAAGGTTGGAAACCACTGAACTAGAACGTGGCAACTTGGGCTTTGCCCAGGGTGCCAGATTTAGAGGCAATGTTCCTTTCCACAGAAGTCCAAGATTGCCCTGTCCTCTTAGTGTACCACCATAGGAAAAGATATTAGTAAACCAGGCTTCCTGGGCAATTTTATTTGTGATATTTGTGGGGCCGGCAAAGCAAATTGCTAGTAAAGAGCAGAGGAAAAAAATATAGAAAAGTGGCTCCCACACCTGTCCAAATTTCTCATTCATGTATTAGGTCATAACTTTCAAAGACCTCTTAGCACTGCAGAGCTAGAAGGGACCCTGTGGATCATTGAGTCCAGCCAAGGAGGCACAATGGAGAATCAAACTCTCAACATTTGGCTTGGCAGCCAGTTACATAACCACTGACCTATCCAGCAAATGTATCCACTTTTGCCTCCCAACAATCTAAACTAAGTTTTTATGGGCTCTGAAAGCCGAAAGGACATCATTAGGATCTCATCAACCTTATACCTGGACACAAAAAACTGCTTCCACTCGACGCTGAGCCCTTGATTTCACATAGCAGTCATATCCTGGCAGAGATAATGTGGAAAAACGTCTCGCATTCACTACTGTGTTCACAGTGAAAGAAAGAGAGGAAAGAAAAGAAGTATCTGTGATAACAACCGAAAACTGATGTGAAAATAGGCAGAGGAAGTTACTGTTTGAAAAATGTGGAAGTAACCCCTTACAAAATGTTTACGAGATCATAAAGTGTGTAATGTTAATGCTTATTAACAGTAGTAATGAAGACTGTGTATTCTCCCAAACACTGAATGTTTAGATAATTGTGTTCATTTTGATGTTGGAAATGCAGACCAGAGTAAATCTTGTCATTTTTTAAAATTGCTGTGCCTGTGGAACCTAGGCACCAATTACTTACGGTACATTCATAAACCAAAATATATGTATCAAAGTTGAAATGAAACTGTTATAGTAAACCACAAAAAGTTATGTGACTTGGCATTTTTCTAAACTGAAAATTAATAGATACTAAAAACCGGAGGCTTATTTCCTATCCTCTGATAAAGCTAGGGGAGGGGAAGAGCCCATACTTTTGGATAGAAAGGCAAGAGAGACTGGTTGGAAGGGAAAGCTAGGTAAGAACTACAGTGGGGTGGTCCCTGGAGCGTTTTGAGTAGCACGGACTATGAAATCTTTAGACCACCCTCTCTGACTTTCTGGTTCCCTCCTAGTTTAGGTACAATCCTTATAGTTGTTGGAAGAGATTTTTCCAGGATCTGTTTTATTGGCTGGAATCCTACTGGTACTGTATTTGTATAAAGCATAATTTGTCACAGCTAATTGTGGCCAAGTGGTGAAGTGCCAAGATACAATTTATTTTTTCTTCCCCATCTTGAAGAATTGGCTATTTAATGTAATAATTCTGTTTTATATTTATTGTTTTATGTGTTTGTAAGCCGCCTAGAGTGGTCGCAAGACCAGATAGGTGGGATATAATAAAATAATAACAACAACAAAACAACAACAACAATAATAACCAGGCAGATGACTGAGACTAGTTAGTCTTCAGGGTGTCACAATGCTTCTTGTTAACAAAGCTAACCTTCTAGTATTTGATGTTAAACATTGAGACTAAAGAACTCTGCCGCAGGAATTTGTCTTGAATACATGAGCAGTGTTATCAGAACTTTTGCTTTCCGGGTTGTTTCGCCGCTGCCTCCACCATCATTGTTTTGACAATATAATTTTAGCAAACGTTGGAAACATTTATTTTTTGGACAACTCCCAGGATCCCTAGCAGCCACATTGGCTGGCAGATACAGTACAGTGGACCCTTGACTTACAGACGGCTTGACTTACAGACTTTTTGAGTTACAGACTTCTCTGGCTGCAAAATTTAGGTTTGACTTGCAGCCTGAGAATTGACTTACAGACCAGAAAAAAACCAAAATGGAACAAAAACGGCCTGTTACGGGATTAATCGGTTTTCTATGCACTGTAGGTGAATGGAGACTTGACCTACAGACTTTTTGACTTGAGAACCACCTTCCAATACGGATTAAGTTCTCAAGTCAAGACCCCACTGTACTAGGAGTTGTAGTGTAAAGAGGTATATTTCAAAGATGAGGAATTTTAAGGTCAGGGTGAGAGACATTTTGTTCCTACCAGTGATGTTAAATTAGGTAAGCACTAGTGATGTAGTCAGAGATCCCCCATCAATGTGCTCTAATTCTTCCAGAGGTCTTTTGTTAGACCTAAACCTGCCTTCAACTTAACCTAGGTACACACCACCTAGGCTTTCAGGAATAAATAGTAATGGGAGAGGAGCAAGAATTCTGCACGCCCAGATTTGCACAAATTGTGCCCCTTCCTGATCCCTGCCATTCCGTACTTGCAAATAAAAGTAGGCCCCATTAAACTAAGTGAAATTACATTGAAACAGATATGCACCCAGTGAGATGCAGTCAGTACAATCATGTCTTGGGACTCAGAAGCCATGGCTTCGAATCCTCCCCAGCCATGAACACTCGGTGTGTGTATGTGTGTGTGAAGCCAGTAAAACCCTTCTTTAAACATCTCACTTGCCCTGAAAGCCCCATGAGAACAGAATAGACAGGTAGAGGATTCCATCCTCACTCCTTTAATTCAGCCTAGCGACTCTTCTTTGGAGCTTTCCGAACTTCTGCAACGAGCCCTAAGGGAAGTCAGTCAGTACCCAGAGCGATCGTCTTTTATACAGTACTTTTATTAGCAGGCCCACAAGGGCAACGTTATCCGCCTCTGCCCTACCAGGCCTTCCAAAGGGCGGATTTTTGAGGCGCATCTTTTCGGTCCTCCCGTCCTGCAGAGGCCGCTCTCGTCCTCTGCGCCAGAGGCCGCCGAGAAGCGAGTCTCCACCCCGGGTCCGGGTATAGTTGCTGACTGACCCCACCCATCAGCAGCTGAGCTGAGAGTGTGTGTGTGTGTGTAAGAGAAGGAGAGCCCGGAGGCAGCGGCAAGGCCGGCTCGTTCTGGGCGGACAATAGCGAGGCGCTGGGGCCTGGCTGCGCTGCGCGATCAGGGCCGGGAGCAGAGGCAGGGGGCAGGGGCAGGATGCTGGCGCTCTTCACCAAGCTGCTGGACTGGTTCCGGGCGCTCTTTTGGAAGGAGGAGATGGAGCTCACCTTGGTGGGGCTGCAGTATTCGGGCAAGACCACCTTCGTCAACGTGATCGCGGTAAGATGCCAGCCGCC